CTGGAGAACAGATCTTTCAGCCACCCTTTTGTGGAGATGGAGAGCCTTAAAAACGCACAACTCTTCCTTCCCTGGGGGTGTGAAAGCTCTGCAGAGCTGGGTCAGACGGGAGGTTTCTGATCTCGGAGGGAGCACTTGTAGACTGGAACAGCTGATATCCCGTGTGAGTCCCAGTCCTGTACAGAGGAAAGATTTCAGCTAATAGACTGGATATATTTTATCTAATTTTTAATCTGTGAATCAGGAGCCGCGCTTAGCACTGACCTTCCCTGAGAATCCTGGAGCTATGCTCCTCTCTGGGAAGGGACTGTCCCAGAGAAGGAGTTGAGGCTCTTTCATCTTGGGCTAAACTTTTGAAGAGTCCAGCTTCCATTTCATGTTATCACACTGCAATTCTGGCAAACCAGCCAACACCTCCACATGGAGAAGAAGTCAGGATACCCTCTCTGTATGAAGCCAATGGGGAAGAGGCTGTCCTTCCCCACTACCTCTCATCCCATCACCCAACACAGCTTACTCCACATCAGTGTTAAGCAACAAGTCCGTTTACATAGTGAATTCAGCGTGGTCACCTCATTATTCTTCAGGAGCCATTAGGTTAAACTCGTTACAGTGAACATTGTTTACACAATACAAATCTGTTTCTGCCAGCCATTACAAAAATAGGAGGCACCAGAATACACTGGGTTCATCTCTGGTGTAGCTAGAACACTGTTTACACAACGAAGTCAGGTTGCACTGATTTCTCTTCACTTACCATGTTCTTCCCCCATGGGGAAATACACTGCTTTCGGACCACTTCAGCCTCTGCCCCTGTAGGCAGCAACTTCCCACCTTTTCATGCTGGCTATTCCATGTGAAGGGGATGGAGCAGCTCTCACAGCTTAGCTTGGTGTGTGGTGTATGGACAGAGCCCTCTTAAATATCTCCCCCAGGAAAAGAGATCTGGAAACCAAAGCATGTGAGAGAGCTGGGTGAGGAGCTCAGGACATCAAGCACTGGTGTACCAGGCGTGGGTGAGAACAGGCTGCAGGCCCTGCTCCCTGGGTTCCCTTGGGATGAGGAACAGAGTATGAGCTTCTGGGGTTTGGGGTTATTTACCATAACCATTCAGCGAGGTCAGCACCCTTTTTGGCTTATCCAGGAAGCAGTCTCGAGGTATATTTTGACCTCAATGGTGGTAACATCCAGAAATCGAGGCAAAATTGGTCCCACCTTCATGTACACTCTATCAGTGTATCTGAAGCATTTTCCCCAACACCAGTAGTTCTAGCAAATGCTAAGGGTTTTGGCCTGCAGTCACCCTTTCATTTTGGATTTGGTTCCACTGGCCTTTTTTGTTCTCTCCTTCTCGAGCCTTCCCTCCTGAAGTTAAAAGTCCTCTATCCCTTGCTCCCTGCCCCACCTCTTAAACTCTTCCACGGGCTGACTACCTACCAGGGCAGAAGGGTTACACTGGGAAGTGGCAGCCAGCTACTGATGTCCTTTAGCATTTGTATTGTCTCCTGCTCCCGTTTTCCTGGGCACTTGTACTGCAGATGGGGACATACGGAGGTCACTCACTGTGCATTGATACATGTTGATGTCTATGGACAGGGAGATCTTCATACCTCAGCATGGGGGAACCACTGTAGGTCAATATAAACCAGGAAATCTGTCAATATTGTTCTCCATAAATCTAGAATATGCAAAATCTACCTCTACTCTGTTATCTCAGCTCCTTGGGCAAAGCCAGATGCTGTCCTCCCTCATCTCCCCAGAGAACATCCCCTTCAGTCGATGCAGATTCCTTCCTGCTGAGCCATGATCCCACCGTGTGACATCAGCCAGGCCTCAATCGGTCACAGGCTTGTCCCTCTTCTGTTTTACTCCAGAATTTTATTTTTAATTTAGCTTAGTAATTCTTCCCAGAATGACTCTTTAGCGATCCATTGATTCTCCAGAACATAGATCGGTTGTTTTAGGTTAGCCAGCAATGCTGCAAATAAGACTTTTGTATCAAAATGTAATATAAGATTTATTTACCTCAGCAATATCCTGTGGCAATGATCTCCCCGAGTTGAATGCAGTACTTTTTTCCTTTTCTCCACTGGAAAATGTTGCCTTTCCAAGTCCAATGAGTGCCTTCTTGTTCTCTAACCTAGCAAAGGTAAACAGGGCATTGCAGCCAGTCTGTTTACCAGCATTGAATACCTCAGGCCTGTCTCCTATTGCTTTGCTCTTTGCAAATTAAAAGAGTTTCACACTGTTACCAATTATATGCAAGCCTTATCCCTGTCTTGAGTTGAGAGGATTATTATTTTTTTGAGAAATAAATGGTCAGAACTGATCACTCACTGCCAGTGAGGATTATCAGATTTATGCAATGGCATCACACACCTTCTCCCATGCAGAACATTCAGCTTTCTTGCTTTCTGCCTGCATTGTACTCTGAACAGATGTCATCACTGGAATTCCTTTAGCAGTGGTAGCTAAACTTAGAGCCAGGCATCTTTTTCCTACCAGTAGTCTGTCAAAGAATAAATGGAATTCATTTTGCTATGATTTGCACGTGTGATTTGCTTTCCCCAGCTACTCTAACAAGCAGAACTGCCATAACCTTTGTCAATGCAAGGAGAGTCTAACCCAGCAAAGGCAGCGTGTCAGATACAGCACTGGAGCTGATTCCAGGAAAACGAATTCCAAGTTCCTGTTCCACAACAGAGTTTAATCTGCAAGTATTTTATCAGCCAGCCTAAAACCAATGAGACTAATTCCATTTGAAATAGTGACTGTATAATTCACAGAACAGATTATATTATAATTAACTTTTACCTGTTCATAAGAGAAAACTTTGAGCATCTAAGCTACAGCACTTGAGAATCCCAGTCCATTAGGAAGTATGTACCAAGCTATTAGGAAAACCAGTGGAAGTCAGCTTAGCCAAGCTCCTGCCAGTGCAACTGGAGGTAAGGGACAAGGGTAACCTTGGCATGCTGTGAGGGGGATTGCTGCAGCACAGCCTGCAGTCTGTTCTGTGGTGTATGTGCAGGGCCTTGTGCATGAGGCAGTGGCAGACACTGTGCTGGTTATGTGATATAAAAAAAAGCTTCATCCCACGAAGAGTTTGGTTTTGGTTTTTGTTTGGTTTGGACCACGAGTTTGGGGCCAGGACGTGGCTGTGAGTCAGCCCAGCAGAGCCCTGTGAACCACTGCACTGTGATCTCTCTGTTCCTGGCACACCTGTATCACAGGTGGCATCAGACTGAGCCCAAGAGGAGTGACTACAGCAAGTAATTGGTCAGGAGGGTTTAGTTAAATAAATATTTTGAAGTGTGGCTGACTTGGGGGATGTCCAAGAGCGATATGAACCATCAAGACTGCACTATATTTATATTTATAATACATAAACCCATAGAGCTCCAGTCAGCAAAAGGACAGCACATGAACTTGCCAGCCTTTATAAATCAGACCCCGGATTCTCAAAAAGCCAAGGACTTAGTGTCCCACTACTAATAATGATTCCAGCTCGCTCGCTAGCCAATAGCCAAGCCATTCCCTGGCAGCAGAGGGTTAACTCACCTCACCTGTCCTTCCAGGCTCAGATTGCCAGAGCCCTGTGAAAGGCTGAAGATCTTTTCCCCCACGGGATTACAGCTCACTCAAAATCCATTTGTAAGAAGGAACAGCATGTTATCTTGCATTTTCTTCCACTGAATTTCACTTGACAGAATACCCACACACCGTGTTGTGACAGAGCCCGTTCTGTGTCTCACAACAGCACTGCTCTTTAGCCTCAGTGTTGAAAAATGGTGTCACTTCAACTGGAATCCCTTTTCTCCCTCCAGTAGATTGATGATTTCAGTACTTTTGTTGTGAGCTCAGCTCTTTGTTCTTTAATTCCTTCCTTGCTGACAGGTGAATAGCAGCTGCTGGGAAGATTTCCTGCAGTTCACTGAAAAAATCCCCATTTCTTTTCTCTGCCATTGCACCACCTTTGCTGTCGGGACAGAACAACCCCGAGGAGGCATTTTCTGCTGCCTGCAATTAAAATTTCCACAAAGAAATCTTCAAAGATGCTTTTCCCATCACCCGACCTTCTTGCTTATCCTCTCTAATCCCAGTTAGTAAGGCTGACTGAATTCTCCCTCAGGTGCCTATTTTTAGTTAATTGCCTGCCCAAGCCCTGGAGATATTCTGCCACCAGAGTGAGGTGGATGAATGGCTCGAATAGAACCACTTCAGGTTTCCAACCTTATCCAAAATTTGCTTCTTTTCCATAACTTATTTCTCGTATTTTTCCCAGTTCTCAGAGATGAAAATTGCCTTGTGAAGCTCTGAATCCCACCCTGCCCGACCCCGGCGTGGTAGGAGAAGGCAGTTTGGTTTAGCCTGATCTGCTGGACTAGGACTGGCGACACCTGGGCTCTGTTTTCACCCTGATCCCCTGCCCTGGCACCTCTCACCCTTTCTGTGCCTGTTTCCCTGTAACAGGCCACAGCCATACCAAGCCTCCCCTGGGAAGTAGCTGGAAGCTGCCCAGGGGGGCACTGTTACCACTGACCCAGCTTCCTTACAGGACCACTATTCCTGCTCCCCACCATCCCTGGTGTGAGCAGACCCCTCTCAGGTTCTGCTGTCCCTGCTGCACAATCCATGCACACATCAGACTCACCTCTGGCTATTCCCTGCACCCAGGGGCAGACTTGCTTCGTTCTGCTGAATAACTGGAATCCTTTAGGAATCCTTCCACATGTTTCAGCCATTCCTGTGGCTCCAGGTAAGGAGTCTTCTCCCAGAGTGCACTCTGTAATCTGCCAGCTCCACATGTTCCCACAGACCACTCGCCACTAAACGCTTCAGACTGGGACAGGAAAAAAAATGGAACTGGTGATCAGAAATGAGACCAGAAAACAGATCACATTCTGCTTCTCACAAATCCACGAGATGAGCTCGGCTTTTCTGTCCAAAGTACATTCTATTTCCATGTGCACAGGGAGGCTCCAGGAGGAGCCTCAAACACCTTCTTCACTGCGTGCTCATGGCTGAAGCTTGGTGTGTGCTGTCTTTTCCACCAGTGCCTAAATATGAGCATGCACAAAGTACATACATGACACAGAGGGAGCTTCTCTGTATCAGGAGATCACAGTGACAAGGAAAGTTAAAGGCATTGGCGAATGATAAAAAATAGGGAATTTGTAATCTGGGTTTTTTTATACTATTAAATAGGTCAGTTCTTAATTTTCAGTTAGGGGAAGAATCCTCAACATTAAAGTGTCTCATTAAAAACCAGCTGTCCCTCACTTTCACACCTCTCTTCACCTTCAGTCTCACCCTCTGATCACAAACTGTGTCTTTGTTTTAAACTACAATGCAAGTGGATAACCAGCTCTACCACAGAATGTACTGAGTGGGCAGGGGACGGCTCCAAAGCCTGTGGGACAGGGACAGACACACCTCTGTCATCCAGGTGAACAGACCACAGACCTGCCTGCAGCCCTTTTCCTTCTGTAGTCAGTGTCTTGCACTTGAAGGTAACACAAGCTTTGCTTATGGTCCTCAGCAGAAGGGTGCAGGAGCCTGCAAACTCCAGCACATCCCATAACTTCTGCTAGAAGCCTCTCTGGAGTTTGAGATCTCCTCACCCTGCTGAGTGCCTCAGCCTTGATGCTTCGTGGGATTTTCCCACTCATACCTAGGAACAATTTTTAGAAAGGTGGTTTTATAACATGTGTACCAGTGTTTTTCTTAAATGAGGATACTGATGAGGAACACAAGAACTGTCTGCCGAGGTGCTCCAAGAGGCACAAAAAGGAACCTGTGGAACCACAAAGACTCACCCCTGGAGCAGCTGAGCTCCAAAACTGCTGCTGGAGGAAAAGCTACTGAGGGACCTTTGCAACCACAAGTCATTTTAAGAACCCTCTCCCAGGCACAAGCTCTGCCATCTCCCCCACGAGCCAGTGGACATGCCCTTGGAAGGTGAAGGGTTTGGGGATTAGCCCTGGGAGTGGGTGGAAGAGCTGTGGTCTCCCTCCCCGAGGCTGCTGTTCACGCTGTCCCTTCTTGTGCTGGATCTGGACAGGCCCTGTGCCTGACCTCCCTCCCTGCAGCTACAGCTGCCAAAGCCAGAAACTTCCCATTGTTAAAGCTCAATTGGTTTTCTAAAAACAAACTTTCTAGCACTTTTACACACAGTGAATAACCTCTTTTAATGGAGTATTTTGGGGGCTGTAAACAAGGTTTTTAAATTGTAATTAAGTGCCATTAGGAAATGTACGGTTCATCACTAAAATTAGCTCTTGCAAATGAAGCTCAAATTGAAAGCATTTTTTTATAATGAAGTTGTTTATTAAAAGCATTTGGATGATCTGTCCCGGGCATCTTCTTGGGGAGGAATTGGGGTTTGGTTGGTTGAAGTAAAGACAGAATCCTAAAGCAGGTCAAAGACACAGTTCCCTGCATGAAGCCACACGGGTTTGTCTTTCAAGCAAAGAATTACACCCCTGCAAAAAAAGACCCAGCACCCCCCTGGGGATGCAGCCACAGCCAACACCATAATCCCCTGTCAGAAGAATAATGTTTGTTAGACAGAAAGCTCTGGTCACTTGGTTTCACTAGAATTTCCAGCCCATGTGGCAGCATTTCAGACGAGTCCAGCCCACACCCCCTCCCAAATAACCCCAACATGCTCCATTCCCCAAGGGCAGCAGAACCAGGACCAAACCTTAAGCTATGAGCAGCTGCAGGCACCACCAAGCATTTGGAGATGAAAAAGGGTGAAGCACACCCTCCCCTCTCGGGATTCTCCTTCAGAACACAGATTAAAAGCTGACAGCCACGAATCAGTGTTCAGGTGCTTTTCTCTAGGTATGATCTGGTTTTCATTCCTAAAGCAGCTGCCGGTGAAACGTGCCCTTTCCTCAGCAGCTTTCCCCCGGAGCTGAGGGCTGTGACAGGACATGAATACACTCAATCTGCCAAAAAATAAGAAAGAAGTTCAGCACAGATCGTCCTGTTGGTGGAGCTGAAGCTTCCTTTGCCTTTTTTAAAAGGAAAAGGGACTATTCTGATGATTTCCTAATTTTGATTCAAGCATTTGCCTGCTCTGGTCTTGGTCACAGACATTCAGCAGCCCCTGACACTGGCACCTCCGTAACCTGGGGGAAGCACATTCATTGCTCTGCTGGGCAGAACATCTCAGGAAAGGGGATTTCACTCTCCCTCCCTCAGGCAGCATTCCAATGGATGCTGGCTGCTCTCCTGCCATGCATTCCCCCAGCAAAACACACAAGCTCTGGGAAGCCATGGATGACAATGTTGAAGGCTCTGCTTCCACAGCACCAGCACAAGTCCAAACTCCCATTTGGAAGGAAATGGCAGCTCCATTCTCAGCTGTCCTCTCACTTCTGCTCCTCAAAAGCACCATGTATCTGTCCAGCACTGCCATCCGACAGTCCTGCTGCTCTTCCCATCATTGCTACACACATCAAATAAGGTATCTCACACAAGAGACAAGTTGCTCAAGGGATCTTACCCTGCAGCACATCCAAACGCCTCAACCGGTGGCACAATTACAATATATGGCAGCATTCAGGACATGCCACACTGGGAGAAACTTACTGCTCAGTCAAGTTTACCAGGAGAAAAATATTGCAAAGAAAACTGAAGTATTCCAAGCTCTGCTTTTGTCTGAAGCCACACGTCACAGACCACATGGGTGTCGAACAGGCCAAGTGTTACAAAAGGAAATTCTCCAGAGGTGGCTTAGGAGAACCCAGGAGAGCAGGATGACAGGACAATGGCAGATTTATTTACAATAGGACACAAAGAATACATACATTAATTAAAAATTACAAAGAATACAGAGAAAACAGTTCAGGAAAGGGAGAGAAATCAATGCTGGCTGAGCCTCTCCACTGGGGCAGGGGGAAAAGAAAAAAAAAGAGAAAAAAAAACAACAAACCAATCAAAATCTCAGAAAAGGACCTCAAGTCAGAACTGACACAGGACTCCACAGCACAGCTGGCTCACGCATCCCCTGCGCCCTTTTTCCATCCATGATTCCTGGCTGATTGGACTTTGGCATGATGAGCAAGGCTGACAGGAAGGGACATGGGCCCTTGTGTGGACCTGGTGGAAACTTATGGCAGTTAGGGTTAAAAAGAGCCCCAAAGCCCTCAAGGGTGCACATCAGTGCTGGGAGTAGGGAGGGCTTTGGACAGTTCTGGGTAGGAACAGTGTGACCTGTGGCAGCTGGTCATTGGGAGACCTTACTACAAGAAGCAAAACTTTCTTAGATCTCACTAAAAAACCTCTCCCCTGTAGCCCTGACTGAATCCAGCTAGTCTGGGGATGTAGGGAGTCTGCACTGCAATGTGGAACCTTTTTTACTGATAAACATCATTGAAGTGACCAAAATAAAAAACAACTTTAACCTCTTTTAAAAAGAGCTTCCCGTGGGCCAATTCAGGCATCAAGCCACGTGAAAAGAGCTCACGTCAGCTGTCCTGGAGGGCTTGGACTGGTTTTTGTGGAGAAGAACAAAGTACAGCTTAGGGGCATACACTTTTCCTGTTCCCTGGAGGTAGAGAATTTCAGAGGAGGAGCAGAGAGCAGCGAGAGGGGCCGGCCCCGGAGGGAGGGCTGGCAGAGAGACAGCCCCACTCCCAGGCCATGGGAGAGCTCCACAGGGCCACCTGCTCTGTGCTCAGCCCCTTCAGCAGGGCCTACACGCCCCTCGGGCAGCTCAGGCCCAGCACTGCCTCAGATTGCTTGGCACTAACGCCGCAGAAGCGTCTCCGCAGGCTCTGCGTGATTCCGGCAGCGTTCCCAGGATGGAGCCTGCCCCGTTTCCTCATGCATATGGAGCAGAGCTATTGACAGAAAAAACCCTTGTAGGTACCTCACACATCCTTCCAGTCCCGTATTCCAGCACAACCACGGACGTTATATCCTGCCTTCCGAAGGAGAGGCAATCCCACCCTCCCCTCAGCCCTTCCAGCAGAGGTGTCCGCAGCGGCCCGTGCTGTCCGAGGCTGGAGGGAGGGAGCAGCGATGCCGAGGGTTGCAGTTGTCAAGCTCTCTCAGGGTGAAATTGCACTTCCCAGGCTCCGAATGGCACCTCCAGCAAATTGTAAACAAGCCGAAGCCAGGACTTCGGTGGTCGGAGCACACCGGGCTCCCGCTGGGTGAGCCTTTAGGCTCCGGTTATTTTGCCATAGTCAAGCTCCCTCTTCTGTGCAGACATGAAGGCAGGAGAAAAACGCAGTTTGATGCTCATCTGAAGAGTCTCCCTGAATCCTAGAGCACCCAGGGGCTGGAAGAAAACGTTTTCACAAGTGTTTCTACTGCTGTTTCAAATCCATTCGTCATCAACATAAAAAAAAAAGGATGAATTAGCAAAAAGGGGGTTTTACTTATACAGAGGGATATTTCTCTGCTAAAAAAACTCCCTCAAATATGGAACAGGATAATAAAGTTAAAATGTAAGGTATCTACAGACCCCTTTTCCCCCAGAAGTAGCCCAGAATCCATGTACACTGTGCCAAAGTTACATTCCAAATCGAGGAGTTAACTGTTTCTCTTGTCACTCTCCCACTGGATTTCGTTTCCTTAAAAGAGCTGGGAGAAGATGTCCACGTCACTCCCGGGAGGACACGCGTTCGGAGGCGTCTGATTCCTGCTGGGGCTCTGCAGCTTCAGTCGATCTTCACGGCGGCGTAGATTTTCCGGACGAACATGTAGGCTGCGTAGAAGCCGATGGTGCCCGTGAGGAGCCAGAAGGACAGGACCATGAGGGCGGTGTAGCCAAAGTACAGCAAGGAGGGAATGAACTCAACAATATCCAGCTAAAACAGAAGAGGAGGGAAAAAATGAGCAAAATAATGCACAGAGGCGACATGAGTCCCCAGCCCAGTGCGATGCCCTCTGCAAGGGGACCTTTGTGCCAAAGGGAGGATTTGTTTTCATCCAGCTGAACAGATTCCCTTCGAGGTGGGATTGGGAACACTGGGCAGGGTCCCAGGGCACCTACACCTTCCTCTCCCCTCTGGCAGGGCTGTCAGCACCACTGGCTGCTCAGCTGCCTTGGGCTGGCACGGGACAGACTAGGACTCTGCAGTCCCACCATTTCCTTTCCCAAATCCCACAGTCTTCCACAGAAAGGCGGCCCTTTCATACAGGAGGGATAACAATACCTTGTTCACAAAGTAGAATACAGCGTAGATCAGCACGTAGAAGGCAGATCCCCCTGACACCAGGAAGGTCCTCCACCACCAGCGGTAATCCTGATAGGATAAAGAGCCTTATTACCCCACAGGCTTTCTTCTTCTGTGGAATAATAATCCTTCTCCTGTCTCAGGGGAGCTGTGACCATTCCAGGACAGGGAGAATATCACACATTTTCCTTCAAAGGAAACCCACAATTTGGGGCGGGGAACTGTTTTGTCACAAAAGTGTCTCCAAACCAAGAGGACATGAAGCTGACAGTGAAGCAAAGCCAGGTTGGGCTCACAGCACCTGGACATGGCTCACCTCTGGCCCTGCATTTTTTTTTATGTGCATGGAGTGAACCAGTTTCTTTGAGAAGAGTCATCAGCTGAAAACATCCTGCACCCAGCAGAATTCCTGGTATGAAACCACAGTTCCCAGCCTAACAGATAATCAAGGAGCTTCAATTCCCCTTGAAGCCAAGAGGTGTTGGGAGCAATCCCACCCGTGAAGCTGGGCCACACTAATTTCTGCTGAGCAGCAGCAACAACACGACCTGTGCTTTTCCAGGAGCAGGTACCCTGAGCTACCCAAACTACAGACATGGAAATCTCACCTCAGCACAGAGCTGGAAGTACACCATGACAATGCTGATCTGGGAGCAGGATACCACCAGAATTATAAACACCAGGAAGAGAAAGCCGAAAAGGTAATAGAACTGGTTCTCCCAGATTGCCTGAAACAAAGACACAGCAGGAATTTGTTTCTGTGCAACTGTGATCAATCACTGAACGTGGGACTAACTTCTGGCAGCCAACCAAGGGAAAATGAGAAGCCCCTCAGCTTCATGTAGATGAAAACACAGATCTAATGTGTCTCACTTCAGAGGATTCAGGGTGCAAAAAGGTGCACAAGGACAGCTCTGAGGTAGCTTGTTCATTCCCCTACACCTCCCAAGCAATGGAACAGCAAATTCCTCCCTGTCCATACAAGGTGAAAACTGGGCAGCAGCTGAAATAGCAACTGTATCAAGACCAGGACCTCTCCTTGATGAAATGTTACAGTAAATTTCATCTTTAGCACAATCCTTCAAATCACCAGGCGTGTCCCACAGCTCTCTCTGGAAACTACCGAATGGCCTGGAGGGAACAGTTCCCCCCCTTCAGTGAGTACAGGAATAGGACACTGCTTCAGTGGAAGCCCCTTCCCTTTCAAAAGCTTTGGCATGAGAGGAATCCTATTCAGGAGCAAAGTGGGTTAAATGCTTACACTGAAAATGAAGAACAGTTCGATGAACATGGCTCCAAAAGGCAGAATACCAGCCATGAGGATCCTGCAGAGCCAGAAACAAAAACCATAAGCAGCACAATAAAACTGTTCAGACATTAAAAATTCCTTGTAACCACATAGCACACGCTCCAAAGGCTCTACAGCTCCAGATTACTAAAACAAATTTCACAGGCAATGGCACAGCTGCTCCCACTGCTGAGCACATACCACTGCTACAAGCACCCCTCACACCACATCCAAATTACCAATATTGTCTCAAGGAACCCCATCTGCCATCTGTCCATGTCCAGAGACCAGTAGAAAGTGATGTTCAGCAACCCAAGGGGACAAAGGGGAGGGGGCTTAACTCACCGTATTTCCCAGACATTTATCACTCACCCCACAAATTTATTCATGTACCACCTCTGCTCCGGGATCTGCCTGGGAATCTGATTTGTCCGTACAGGATTGTCATATGGCTGCTTGCGAAATCCAAAGTAGTAACCCAAGTAGACCAAGGGCAAGGAGATCCCAAACCACATGCAGAGCAAGGCCACCATGGTAGGGAAAGGCACCTGGAATTACAAGAGTCACAGAAGTGAGGCTGACAGCTCACCTGCCCTGGAGACTGATGTCATCAGCCATGCAAACCCTCCAGTCACCCACTACAAGGATACCCACATTTAGCAAGGTCTGGGAAGACAAGTAAGGCCCTGCCAGCCCTGTCACCCCCTCCCACCCTGCAGGCCCCAGGCTGAGGGTGGTACCTACCGCACCAGAGGAGTGTTTCCCCCAGATGAAACAGTTCAGGACGAAGCAGATGCCGAAGACGACGCCCGGGTACAGGGTCGCTGTCTGCAAGAGCAACCACAGCACAAGAGGAGACACATGACTCCATCAGCCAGATGTTCCTCTGTAATGAGTCCAGGGCTGGGATAAGGCACATGTGGAGTAATGTCCCTTTTGCTACAGCACGAGGACACAGGGCTGGGCTGTGGGGAGGATCTTGGACAATCCTCTCTGCTCTAGTACGTGCTCTGGTGTTTGCCCTTTTCTGTAGAGCTACAAGGACTCAACCCAGAGCAAATCTGAAGCACAGCCAGGCTGCGTCCAGCTGCCACAAACATGTGGAGCTTATGCACAGATCTTGCTATCAGCAAACCTGGATAAACAGCACAGAACATCCAAGACTCACACAAAAGGCTCCCTTCTTCCACCGATGGCCTTTCAGAGTCCGGTACAAGCGGCCAGCAAAGAATCCACCAAAAACCCTGGGCAGAAACAAGCCAAGACAAAGAGAATGAGCTGTTCTGCTGGGGAGGTGCAGGACAGCACTGGGGGGAAGCCGTGGAGGCACCTACCCCATGAACATGAAGAGGAAGCAGGCAGTTGTCATCAGCGCGCCCCGGCTCGAAGGCGACAGCATCCCCAGCATAGCAACAACTGCGGAGGGAAACAGGACAAGGAACAGCAGCTCTGAGGTACATGGGACAGGGGCCTGTCCCATCCACAGGCCACAGCTGCCTGGAATCTCTGCACAGGCCTCATTTCCTTCACAGCATAACACATCCACAGCCTCCAGCACCGGCGAGAGAGAGGAAGCTTTGATCTTAGCTACAGACCATGCTCCAGCCTCAGCTTCCCCGGGGATGGGAGCAGGTGCAGCTCAGCTGGCAAGGCACACCTGTGCAACAGTCTCTCAGCACACTGTCACCCAGGGCTCACAGCTTGGCAACACAAAATATAATCACACAAAGCTGCCTTCAGCTGGGAAATGCCATCGGGCAGCTCAGCAATGCTGAGCCCGGGCCAATGGAAGCAGCTTTATGGGCCTCACTCCAGCCAAAGTGAGCACAGGGTGAAGACAAACACCCTCAAGCATCATCCTTATTACAGCCACCCCATGCAGTATGTGCCACTTACAGATGACAATCAGGATCATACAAAAGAGCTGAATTCCAGAACCCAGGAGAGAGCTGAGGATCATAGGATACTGTGGAGGCCTGAAGACATCCCCATGCACAAGTTTCCAACCCGATTCCTCCATAGTATCTTCCTGTAGCAACAACAGAAAAAGAAGGTTAGTTAGATATGCCAGTGAAAACTGAAGTCCTACCACAGCCAGTCTAAGAGGGTAACTTCCCTGGATGCAGCTCTTCTCCAGAATTTTACCACTCTAGCCAAGAAACTTCTTTCCTCTTGGGCAAACACAGCTAAGACCTGAACTGCCAGTGCCAGAGCACACATTTCCAGAGCTGTCTGCAGTCATTACTCAGGTCTGAAGACATCTGAACTGGTAAAGTGCCATTGTACACTGACAGCCAGAGATGTGTGACAGCACGACAGAACAGCCCCTCCCACGGCCAGGGCTCGAAGCAAAATAGGGGCAAGGGAAGAGATTGCACAAGAGATCCCTCCTGGTCTGTGCTTCCCTCCCTCTCTGATCCCAGCCCCAAGAACAAACACATACAATGTCATCTTCCTTGTTGTAGTTGGCAATGTCCTTCCGCAGAGTCCGGATGATGATCATGCTGAGAATCCCTGAAAACAAGCACAAACTGTGTTCAGCTCAGAGGCTCCTACATGGCTGTGCTGCTCTCGCACTGTGCAACTACATGGCTCCCACTAACACACTGTTCTGTCTGGGAGAGGAGGCCTTGAGTCATCAGCAAAGACAGAAACAAAACCCCAGGGAAGTAGAGGAGGCAATATTCCAGCAGAAACAGGGCATTGTGGCTTTCCTGTGGTTTTTTTTTTTATTTAAATATGGACATGGAAGATGTGCATTCACCACACACTCCCTCAATGACCCCAGCCAGGCGGGTAACTGCCTGACCCCACAGGGCACTGTCTGAACCAGGAGGTTTTAAGTGCTATGTTGGTTTCCTGCCCCGTCTGACCAGGTTCAGACATGGCCTCATCCTCCTCCAGCCACCTGCAGCTGAGGCTCAAAGCAAATTCCCTGCAGACACCCGTAAACCCCTCCCCACCCCACACATCCTCTCACCTGAAAGGAAAAACACAACCACAACTGAGTTGATGATAGAAAACCAGTGGATCTGCACGTCACTCATGGTCAGGTACGTGTCCCAGCGGGAAGCCCACTTGATGTCACTCTCCTGAAAGAGCGGGGGAGTTCTTCTCACATCAGCACATTCCCAATGTCTTCCACAACACCTGTGACACACACCTGGAGCATCACTGCCAGCCAGCTCCCCAGTACTGCCTTACCTCCCAGTGCACAGAGTAGGTGAAGAGCAACTGGTTCTCTTTAGTGGGATCTATTTCCTGAGGGGCAGAGCCCGTGGCTTCGGGCAGGGTACACATGCTCTTCTCATCAGCCTTCAAGTCTGTAAGGGAAAACATGGCACACACAGTCAGCCCTTCCCTCAGGCACCACCTCTCCCACAGAGCATCACCCTTAGGGCACTGGGCTGCCGTTATTCCAGGTACTGTGGGGAACCACTCGCTCCTTGCTCACCTGCTCTGCAGTTTGCAAAACTATTCTCCTGACCAGCAGTGGAGCACGATTAACAAACTTTCAGGAAAGCTATGCACAGGGCTCTCCTTAACTGGAAGGATAAAAGCCAGAGGTTCTGAAGCCAAGGATCTAGACCATGAACAAATCCTCTATTCCACATGACATGCTGAGAAAAAAGACCTCTGCAGCAGAGCCTGCTCTGCCAGAGGAGAGCTGCACGGGGTGATACACACCATAAGCAACTGCCCTTTGAGACCCTTCACTGATGCAGAAGTGTTTTCCCCTAACCATTATTTTTAAAATTCAATCCCCCTGGAACTGTTCCAAACATCCTGTGTGTCCCTGGACAAGCACACAGTGTCCCAGTCAGGGAGATCAGCACCACAACAAGAGCTACATGCCCTGCATGCTTCATGCTAGATGATACAGTGCAAAAAAATGCAACCCCAAAATCTCAAACTCAGGTCTTTTTACAGGAAATGATTTTTCCATGGATTGCATTGCAAGGATATCTCTTAACAACAAAGGGGTTTATTCTTAAAATTCGGACTCTTTCATTTCTGTGCCCTGTGAAGCAACAACTGGCATCCTGCAACATCAATGGCATCCAACTCTTGTTCCTACAGGAGACTCTTCCCCCTTGCTCCTCCCCAAGAGTCTCTTACCTTCCAGTTTAATGCTTTGGGGAATCACCTCAAAGCGCACCACCCTGTAGGTGTGCTCCTGGCTCTCTTCCACATCCTCTCTGTGGTAGTAAAGGATGAAGGAGAGGTGGTTGTGCAGGTAGAACTGAAAGAGTGACATGAAATAAAGCGTCAGCACCCCAGGGCAGGAACAGGCAAAGCTGAGAAGCAACAGCTGCAGAAAACAGCTCCAGTGAGGAAAACTAAAGACACTCCAACATCAGAGATCAGCCAGTCTTGGAGGCACAGAGCCTTTGCTCTGCTGAGGGGAAGCCACTGCATGAGCATGTCCAAAGTTACACAGTCAGTCCAAGGAAGGACTCCTGGCTATCGTACCAACAGTCCAGCACCCATCCCCTGCTTCCCACGAGAGACCCCTCTCTCATATTTCCACTCTTTATAAAACCTTTTGGTTGCATTCCCAATTCCGATACTCTCTGGCAGACCTCTAACACCCTCTGACAGACACCCAGATCTCCTCCAGGCACCCTCAGACAGCACCTCAATGCTCTACCTTGTTACCGTCCATAAACCCAAGCCTATATCCGTGCTCGAACTGCACATCCTTCTCCTTCTTCTTCTCCTCTTCCTCACGATTGGAATAAAACTCCAGCCGTGTTGCCACAGGGAGGTTATCAGCAATGCTGAAAACACAGATTTCAGATCAAATTTGTCCACAGCACCAAATCCCCTCTGACACAAACCCACGCCAGAGGTGACTCACAGGTGGACGTAGTAATCCTCCCTGATGCGCTCGGCGATCAGCTTGCTCTGCTCCACTGTCAGAATGACTGGCTTGTTGGGAAAGTTACACAGAACTTCACATTTCTTCTCCACGTTCATGGAAACCTGGAAAGGCGTATTTACAATTCGGTCCCCACGAAGAACCTCACCTGGAAAACAGGAAAATAGGGGCAGGGTTGGAGACTGCCAGGCTTCCTGCCAACCGGGCACTGTGCAGCTGGAGGGACCACAGCAAGTCTCCTTTGCTGCCATGGATCAGACTGAAGGACAGTTTAGCTATTTTGTTGGAAGTATCAAGCACTGCTTATGAGGCAGGTTATATGCCCTCCTTCAGTAAAGGCATTTCCTCTGTCCGACACACGGACACCCCCGTTTGCAAACAGCCAGCACATTGCGAATCAGAGGAATCAGGTTCTCCTCACAGCTCAGCAGAGGTGACATTTCCAACTGCTTTTAGCCCTGTAAACATCCCCCCATGCTGTGGGACTGTGCTGTCTGACAGGTTACACACCGAGGTTCTCAGCCTTGTAGGTTATCTTGCTGGGCTGGCAGAAGGGCAGCGAGTAGTACTCGTAGGGCAGCTGGGTCCGGGAGCTGGTGAGCTTCACAGCCTGCAGGAAGAACAGAAGGATCATCCCCAGGAAAGGACTCAAGATAATTTCCTGACCTCTCAGCATCAGCCAGAAGCTGACACTTGAACTTCAAGACCATAAAGCTCACTTTTGGAAGATACTACTACTAATATTAAAAATAATAGAGACAGATGTTCCTGAGAGACCTCTGGCTTGCTTCCCTTTTGCACCATTCCCAGCTGTACATTCCCTACATTACAATTTAGTAGAAATTCATTCACAGAGAAACACTGGTGGTTTTGCAAGTTCATGTCCCAGTGGAGTCCTAAGAGCTCAAAAAAGATTCAAGAATTGCAATTCATACAAAATTTCCTCAAAAAAAAAATTTCATGTCCCACTGGACCTGTCTGGCCTCCAGGGCTATGAAGAGTTCAGCAATTTTACTCCTGTAAGGAAAGCCATAGAGCCATCAGACTGGAGAGAAAAAGGGTTGGTGACAAACCCCAAACATTCCTGGAGAGTTCCCACAAATCACAGGGCACAAGGGAAGTGCAGACACACCACAATAGCCAAGGCCACAGTTGCTCCGAAAAACAGAAGTGTTCTGTAACACAGCCAAGCTCCTTTATTGGAAGAGCACTGGCAAACACACCGACTTGCTTTAGCAAGGAGGGAGCATTTGGCTCCTGAAATCCCTTTGAGAACAGCCATTCCAATACCCCCTTCTTCTGGGAAGCTTACTGTAGCCACAGGCAAGTCTCATTTGCTTAAAAATAGCCTATGTCTGGCAGCCTGTGGCCAAAGAGAAAAGTGTGCTGTGCTTCACGTGGGAGCAGCCAACCTCAGCAGCCCCCAGGGTGCTGGATTTGCTGAGACAGAGGCCACAGCTTTAGAAAAAATAAATGAAATGGGCTATAAATCGCTGATGTCTGGAAGCAAAGCCTGGCTTCCTCCTGGATGGGTGTAGCAGCTCTGTCGTTCAGCACCAGCAATGCTGCATGAAAACAGCTCCCAGCAAGGCTGGGCTCTAAGATCTGCGAGGCTCAAGGACAAGCACCTCCACTTGGGAAGTGCTTATCACAGATTTCCCTAGTCCTGAAAACACAATGCGAGCAAACCAGGTAGAAGAGAAAATTAAGAAGGTCTGATTCAAACCACTACTTTATTCCATACCTTCTACTTTCCACCCCAAGGCCCACCTCTGTAAGCACTTTGAGAGTCAGTATAATGTTAGAGAAATTGAATTCACTTCAAAGCCACAGTGAAAAAGGGGCTCTTTTCCCACATGGAGCAACTTCTCAGGGACTTAAGTGCAACTGCTGAAGGAATTTAGAAGATATCAGGGGCAAGAACAAGAATCATGTTGGGAACCGAGTGTAAGATGAGGACAGTGACCATGTGAGGGTGGTCCCAACCACCTAATTCAAATGCTGTGAAAGAGAGAAAATATCCGACCCCAAAATTTTAGCAACAGGATCCCCAAATTTGACTTTCCAGCCCCCCTTAGCTGCTATGATATAAAAAAGAAAAAAAACCAAAAGACGAAGTACCCCCAAATCAAATGGACTAACAGCACCAAGTTCCTCCTACCTTTATTTCTACAGGATCATTGCGGTGGAAGTTGATAGGAGCCACCCCAGGTACATAGAACGAGTCTGTACCATGCAGCAACAACAGCAAGACCAGCATATACCTTAGCCTTTCCTGAAAAAGGAGAAGAAACAGTAAAATATAACAGAAAAGGCAGGAACAACATCAGAGATGGGCGACAACACTGGAAGTGTTCGTCCCAGACATTAGAAATGCTGCACTGTGAGGTGATTAAACAGAAACTAAATTCACAAAAGCAATTAGTAGCTTTGTTTTGTGACTCTCACCAGGTCACTTTCTGCTCTAGGTGTCTCTGCCTCTTCATCTGCAATTAGGAAAACTCTGGCTTTGCTCAACCACAAGAAAAACGCACTTTTTAGCTGCATCACGGGGCACTGAGCAGGCCGTCACCTGACTTTTCTGCTCCCACCCATCTGAGCTCCCTGTGTTGGAAAACTCCATGGATTAGTAGAGAAGGAGGCTGTGGCCCTGGCACTGAATGCCTGTCAGCTCTGCACAGCAGCAGTTACCCTGGAGCCACTTACAGATGGATGCTGATGTGCTGCTACCTGCAGTAGAATAGTTATTGTGGGCTCAGGTGTGATACCAAAGCACCCTTCCTTCACATCACCGCTCCCTCCTTTCCTCACCCCTCCGGGCCACAACACAACTCAGTAACACAGCAAAAAGCTTTTTCAACCCTTTTTCAGGCAGCAGGAGGACAGGTCAGGCTGGAAGGCTCAGTCTCCATGGGGGCTCCAACAGAACCCAGACCCCGCCAGCAGCAGCAAACCCTTTATTTAACACACCTTGCTGCCTCCTCAGCCTCTCCCATCACCTCAGGTGACCCAGCTCTGGCACAGGCAGGAAGGCTGTGAAATGAAAATCGAGCTTTAAAGAGTATTAGCCAGCAGCAGCTTGCCTGGATTAAGACATCAGCTCTGGTGTAATCTCACAGCACTACTACCTTAGCCCCTCCTCCCAAACTCCCTGCCTGTACCAGCACCACTGGAAAACCACACAAAACCTGGAGCTTGGTTTGGGACAACTCTTGAGCTAATGCTGCAGCTGTAAGAAACCAAATCCCTGCTGTCCCTGTCCTCAGCACAGTCAGGCTGGCACACAGCACCAGAGAGAACACTCCAGAGCTTGGCATCCACAAGCCAGGTGTGGAAAAACAGCAGCCCTGTCCCGGGGATCCTTCCTCAAGTTTTGGAAAAAAAATATATTAAAAAAAAATAAATCTGTGTTTATTGCCCCCACACCCCTTCCTCTTCATGACCTCCCTTATTCTGAGGTGAGGAAGGTACATTCGGCCCAGACACCAGCAAGGGCCAACAGAATTACTGGAACTGAACAGGATGAAAGAAAAAGCCATAAATACTGGCAGGTTTAAAATCTAAAATGTATTTAAAATGCAATTGCTAAGCACCTACAGATGATGTTAGTACTGAATCATCAGATACATGTGGCCTTTCAGTACCTGAAGGGACCCTAAAAGAAAGATTGAGAGAGACTATTTACAAGAGCAGGACAAGGAGGAATGGCTTCAATGACAGAGATTAGGTTTAGATTAGATATTAGGAAGAAATTCTTAATTAATTTCTTCATTAAGGGTGGTGAAGCACTGGCACAGGTTGCCCAGGGAAGCTGTGGCTGCCCCATCCCTGGAAGTGTTCAAGGCCAGGTTAGACGGGGCTTGGAGCAACCTGGGATAGGAGAAGGTGTCCCTACCCATGGCAGGGGGTTGAAACTAGGTGAGCTTTAAGGTCCTTCCAACCCAAACCATCCTGCGAGTCTGAGATCTTTTATGTTGTTACTTGTAAACCAAAACCATACAGGTGCCACCCTTGCCCCAGAGGGCTTGGAGGTGACAAGACCAGGACAGAACTTCAGCAGATGCTCAGCAGACACGTGAGCACACAGAATATGAAATTTTTGATGACAAAAATTTTGTAGAAATCAGGCTCTTTGCATACAGATGATGATGACTCAGGCAGCACCAGGCAACAGAAAAGACAAAGAGGGCGACTCTGGAAAGCCCTGCCAGGAAAGAACAGTTGGTAGCAAGGCATGGGAATGCTGCTATGCAACAGGTGGGGGAGCTCTGGAAGTGAAATTTGAAGGAAATGCCCAGTGCAGGTTCCTGAGCTGGCAGAGCACAGGGAAGCTGATGCTGAAGTTCTTTCTTGTCAGGATCTTTGCTTTTGTATTGACAGAGGTGCTTCATCTTCTCCAAACAAAGGCATCAGCTTTAGCAATGGCAACAAGGACCAAAACATTGGTTTTGGGACCAACAACCACCCAAAACATCTGTTACTCATGGGCCTGGCCAGATGATCATCTCACCTGGGGGATATCTGGAAGCTGAGTTTTCTCCTATGCAAGGTCAGAACTTCCAGGATGGAGCTCTGCTTTCGTTCAGTTGAGGAGCCCTGGTGAGGTCCCCCAGCAGACACCTTTGCAGCCTTTACCAATTATTTACATTTCAAAACACATGCAAGAAACAGTCTTGTATCTGAGGTGCCAGGAAATCATATAACGAAGCAACAAGTAGCACAACAAACAGGCACAACTCCAGACTGAGAAAAACCCAGCTGCACGTAGGCAAAAATAGTTTGGATTGACTAAGCCTGATTATTTTCCCATATGCAGACACGCAGACAGACCCTTTCTTAGGAGAATATGGTCTAAATAAGAAAAATAACTGCAGAAGCAAAATGACCCCCTCCTGACCCCCAAATCAGACACTGCTCAGACTGAAAAGATCCATCACAAGCAAAAATCCTGCGGAAGGAAAGCAAACCCCTGTCTTAAAAAAGGGGAAAAACCCAAATCTATTTCAAATGTCACTATATTCTGTCTGCACACAGGCCCCTGACAGGAGCCACACTCTGACTTCTCTTTCCCACGGGCAGAATGTATCCTGGGGGAGTCATGGCATGTCACTCTGGGAGCAGCTGGCATGGTGCAGGCAGGACCCTGCCAGAGCTGCCAGCACAGCTCACCAAACACCCCCACAGCTCTGCCCATCCCACGCAGCCCAGCACATCCTCCTCCAAGGGCAGCTTCCTCAAGTCTGTGGGATCTCTCTAGAAAGATATTGAAAACATATTCCTGTAATTAACTTCAGAACAAAGCACTTGGCTGTAAGAAGCAACTAACTCAAACTCCTTGCAGCAATTCTAACAGTATTTCCTGCCCTGTTCACACACCAACTCTCTCCAAGAAGGCAGTCTTGGATAATTACCACTAGACTTGGGATTTGCAGACAACACCAGGACACAGTTTCTTTAATTTATCCCACTCAGAAAGACTTAAACAACACTGCCACTTTCTGTGAATGCACAGAAGCCATGCTGCCCCAATAGAGGAATTATTCACTAAGCCCCAGCCTGACCCAGCACAATGAGACCCTACAACGTGCAGTTATCACCACGTGCTTCCCTACAGCCAGCACTGCCAGAGTCTGAACTCCAACATTTATTTAAGAGAAAGGGGAAACAGCAGCTTTTCCCTGGGGCACTCTCCAACAGCTCCAAAGTCCCTGCCCAAGCCAATGACTTGAAGAAACCCTCAGGCTGCAGCAATTTCAAGCATCCTGCAAGCATCTGAACTGGGCTGGTGCTGTACCAGTGATGGTTTAGGTCTTAGTTTCACAATCCAACAACTTCAGAACACAGTATTTGCTCAAAGTGAGGAAGAGAAAGTAGTAAGTGACAATGATGGATGTTGCGAATGAAATGATGGACATTGTCCCATCCCTTTTGGGCAGAGAAGGGCAAGAGGGGCATCAAACAGCCATAATCAAGGGCTGTTAACTTTCAGCACCGAAGAAAACCAGGGAAAACACAACCTGTCCAGATGGATTCACAAAGCTTTGCTATCCCATTCCACTTACTGAAACTTTGGAACGTGGTGACAGAAAGGGAGGAAAGGTATGACCCCACTGCTTTGTGGGAGGAAAAGAAAAATCCACCAAAGGATCACACACGTAACCTTCATTCTGCCCTCAGGCACATCAACAGGACACTCACAGTGCTAATGGCACTCTCTCCATGAGTCACTTCACACCCCAGCCCTGGCCAGCAGCAACCTTTGTGTCAGCACACATCCTTTATCCACATTGTCATGGAAATATTCTTCTGGGAAAGCCATGAGGAAATCTGTTTTACTCCTACAAGACTCCAAGGCAGGTAAGTAACGTCCCAGCAGCTCATTTTCTCCTCCGTGAGGTGGCACTGATGCTCAGCTACCTTAGCAAAGTTCCACTAAGAACATATGCAGCTCTCCGAGGATTCAGGGAATAATTCAATAATAACAGGGATGCTGGGACGACGGGAAGGTGAAGCGGTTGCTCGCACCCCGGCCCGACAATTACTACCGAACACCTGTGAAAACCACACACAGCGCAACAGCCGCTTTGCTTGGCACCAGCACCGGGTCCAGGGCGACGCCTTCCTTCCAGAGAGAGGCACAGCGAAGGGAAGGGAATGGGAAAGGGAAAGAAGCGCCGGTACTCCCGACAACCCACAACAGCCCGGCCCGGCCCCTCCTGCCCAGACAACGCCGTGACCCGCGACACGGTGCCAAGTTTGCTGCCGCGGGAGCGCGGGGCCGGCACCCGCCCCGCTCCTCCGGGCCCGTCGGCACCGAGCGGCGGCCTGAGCTCTGCCCCGCGCCGGTGACACCGCCGGGGGACGCGGCACGGCTGCAAGGCCCCGGGCGACACCGGGGAGCCTCCCGTGGACAGCGGCCGGGCCTGTGACCCTCCCGGACCCTCCCGGAGCGCCCTCCCCGCGCCCCGCGGCGGGGCCGGTGGCGGTGCGGGCCGGGGGTCCGCGGGTGGGACGCGGGGCCGGGCCGGGCCCCCCCACACTCACCATCGCCGCCGACGCCGCCATCTTGCATCCACGTGTCGGCGCTGACGTCACCGGAAGCGGCGCGCGGTTGGCTGCGGGGCAGATCGCCATGGCGACCGCGGCGGCCGGGCAGGGCCGCGCCGGGAGGCCGCGCTCCGCGCCGCCGGGGCCGCGTCCGCCTCACCCCCGGCTCCTCCCGGCTCCTCCCTGCCAGACGGGGCGGAGCGGGGGTCGTCGTTCAGTCCCCAGCGGGTCTCTGGCCCCGCGGAGCCCGTCGGGGACGGGGGGCGACCTGCGCCTCCATCTTTGCTGAGGGCAGGAGCCTTGGCGTGGGGGGCGGGCGCGACGTCGCGGCCGCCAGGTTTGGTGCGGGCTGGGCCGGGGCCATGCGGTTTCGAACCGCCCGGTCCGTCCCCGCCGGTCCGGGAGCGCGGGGCTCGCTCTGAGCGGCGCCCCGGACACGCCCGGGCCTGGGGCTCGCTCTGAGGGGCTCTGCGGACCCCAGCTTGCCCCATCCGCGTCCCCCCGCGCGGGCTCCGGAGCTGGAGGAACGGCCAGGCGAGGAGAGGTTGATAAATACTTTATTGATTACAAAAAAAAGCTCACAAAGCAGATAGAAAAGAGCTGAAGCGTTGGCATTTGCCTCTTGGTATCGAAAATATAATCACAGGCCCTGATCTCCCTGCTGTTAAGAGGTACAGGGCTATCTTAAAAATAATATATTGCTTCCTTCTTTTCCCCAAATAACCTGTCATTAAATACTAAAAATAAACAACAACAGTAAGTGAGTGTGCAGGGAGCACCGGGCCCTTGCTGACTCTGCAAATGCCCCAGCAGACATCAAATCCTGCCTGTGAGCTTTGCCACGGGGGAGAGGTTTCCTTGGGCCATGGCTTTGGGCTCCAGAGGTTTCTCCCAAGGCAAGCAGAGGGGGATCCATCCAGGGACAGCCTGGAAAAGTGCTGTCTGTCTGTCTGCCCACCCTCCTGCACAGCCTCACCAAACCTGTGCTCTGCACAGGGGGTGCTGTGAAAATACTGAGGAATGAAACCCAGGAGGGAGAGAGCAGGACACGTGTCTGTGACACTTGACATCCAAACTCCAGGATCCTGTGCTGAGGATGAGTCAAAGTGCTGCATCGCCTGGGAATGCCCTGGGATCTCTGGGACACAAAGGGACTAGGTGGGGCACGGGCACTGCAGGGCATTTCACCGACCTGGAGAATGGCAGGATAAGATCTCAGAAGAATTAAAAAAAACCTAATCTGGGTTTTTTACTTTGTAGCAGAAGCAGGGCCAACCCCATCCCTGTCCCTCCTCCTGCGGAGATGCCGGTGGGGCAACCACTGTCCAGCCAATGCTTCCCGTGGGCACTCAGGCTCCTGGGAAAGGCACAGGGTACAGCCACACATCGCTTCTCTCTCCATCCATCCCAAGCATGGCTCCCTCCTGCTCTGCTTCCAGCTCCTGGGCCACAATGTATCCTGGGGAAATCTGGGGCCAGGCTGGCAGGGGAAGCAGGGCACGGGTGGGGCAGGGAAGAGCGGGATGTGTGGTCACTGGCAGTGTCTGCCCCGAGCGTCCTGCGCTACGGCTGCTGCTGGTACTGGCTCTCTGTGGCAGTGAAGAAATCCTCCAGAACACTCTGTGTGTACTCAAAGGTGGGACGGTCCTCAGGCCTGGTCTTCCAGCACCTCATCATGATGTCGTACAGCTCTTCGGGGCAGTTCTCCGTGCGGGGCATCCGGTACCCGCGCTCCAGCGCCCTGATCACCTCCACGTTTGACATCCCTGGAGAAATGGGGGGGAAAGGTGGATGCCACACACATGGATTTCTTTAAAAGGCATACAAACCCCACGCCCAAACCTGCTCACCCTGTGGGCAATGTCACCAGGAAGGAAAAAGAGTGGTTAGAGGGGTTGGGAAGGGGGAACTGCTGCTCCAGGTCAGGGAAACATGCGGACAACAGAGATGCTGGGTTAGTTGTGGCATGGAGCTTTGTACCCCAGAGCAGATGGGATTTATAATCACTTTGTATAAATTAAAAAAAAATAAAAAATAAAGGCTCCACGTCTCCATGTGCTGTCTGTAACGAGCCATTGCTTCCAATGAAAACAGGTCAGTGGGGGGACAGAGCTGCTCCTCAGAACAGCCATTTGTGCTACGCCAGATCTTTCCTGGCTCATTTGTAGCAGGATTTACAGACTAATTTCCTGTTGAAAAAAGATACCGAAGTAATAATTAGTATAAAATAGAGAGTGGTCCCTACTGATAGGGGCTTACAGAGGTTTCCCGTGGTGCTGGAGGAGCTTAGATGCCATGGGTGGGGCCCAAAAAGTGGAGTGTGTCTTTTGGAGCCACATTAGAAGAGGCATTTCACCTCCCTACCTGGGTAAGGGATGCGTCCATAGGTAATGATCTCGGTCAGGAGGATCCCAAAGGACCAGACATCAGATTTTATAGAGAAAGATCCGTAGTTGATGGCTTCTGGTGCAGTCCATTTAATGGGAAACTTGGCACCTGGACAAAGAGATACAACAGGAAACGTGAACTCGGACCCAAATGCTGAGAAACGGGTGGTGAAATTTGGGGAACAAGAAACAAACAGAAAAGGAGGAAGTGAAGTGATGCAAATGAGAGGAGCTTCCCTCCCCTGCCCACACATCCAGCACACCCCTCCTGGGGTCGGTACCACGTTGGTCAGTGGCTCTGAGGGATCCCTCCAACCCTTCACCCCCCAGCAGCTCCCCACCTTCCCGGGCCGTGTACTCGCTGTCCTCGATGACTCTGGCCAGCCCGAAGTCTGCGATCTTGCACACCAGCATTGCTGACACCAGGATGTTGGCAGCTCTCAGGTCTCTGTGGATGTAGTTCCTCTTCTCAATGAAAGCCATTCCTTCTGCAATCTGCCACAGGGGGACGAGGGAAATGCAAAGAGGCTGCTTGAAATAACACCCCCCCACACCCAGCGCTGAAGAAGTCAACAGCTTCTGGGCAGTGCTCAGAAAGGGGTGAGAGGGGGCTGAGGGACAGCAGGAGATGGATGTCCCATCTCTGGAAGTGTCCAAGGCCAGGTTGGACGAGGCTTGGAGCAATGTGGTCTAGTGGAAGGTGTCCCTGCCCATGGCAGGGGGGTTGGAATGAGATGAGCTCTAAAGTCCTTTCCAACCCAAACCACTCTGTGATTCTGTGGGACCAACTCCTGCGTGGGAACCGCGCTCTGAGCAGGGAATCCCTTGCAGGAGAGGTCGGGGTTTGGGTGACCAGCACAACGTGACTCCTTTAAGCTGCTGTGTGAAAAAGACCATGAGAACTGACACCCAGGGAGCTCCTGTGCTCATGAGCAAGTGACTGTGGGTCTCTACAGGGCAACATGTAACTGCTTCATCCACAGCCGTGTGGATGTGGAGGCAAGCATATCACTCTCTGCTCAGGGAAGATGTGAGGCCAATCTCCAAACACATCCACAAAGGGAAGCAGGGATCAACTGTTCCCCCTGCACAAAGGGATCAACAAATGGACTGTGATTGCTGCAGGAAGGGTTTGCATCGCAGACCTTCCTTGGCCAGGGCAGAAAACCACAGGGGTGGCTCTCCTGGGTAGGGTGGGGAGATACCTGAGGTCTCCCAGACTAGTTTGTGAAGAGTCAGCCTTGCCTGGGAGCAATATGGCTGTCCTGGCCCCCGATAATCCCCCCCGCCTCCATCTTCAGAAGTCTCTGCACTCAGTGTGTGCAGCTGTCAGCCCTGATCATGCAGAGGTGACCTGGTGTGTGCACAACCAACCCCCAAATTTGTGCTGAGTTACCCCATGCCTGGATGTGACCAGCATCCAGAAGGTGAAGGGGCTGGAGCAGCCAGAGGGGACACCCACCCATCCCCATCGCACCAGCACAAGCCAGCCCAGTGTGAGGTGCAGCTCTCACACAGCTCTCCCCACAAAATACAGAAGTAAACAGGCAGTGCAAGAGCAGAAGGATCATTTCCATGACCACAGATGCAGTTCTACCGCAGTGACTCAGCCCCAGCAAAGTGCAAGGCTGCTGCCTGCTCATGGCAGCATATCAGCCTTTGCTCCCCAGTGCTGCTCCAAGCAGCTCCTCAGAGCTGTGGGCCAAGCTGGGGATTGGCATGATCCAGCTTGCTGAGAACAGATGGTGTGCAGGAGTGCACAGCTGATCCACAGACCCCGGCACAGCCCGCTCCAGCAGCCAGTGACCTGGTCTAAACCCCCGGGGTCCCATCTTGGCTTTCCTGTTGCTCAGGTGCCTCTTAGAAATGTCTCATAGAGGTACCGAGCTCAGCTTAGAGGGTCCCCGGATTCAGCCCTCAGTGGGGGGCACTGGAGAAGCAGCAGGGACTCAGTGGTTGTACAAGTGGTTACACACGTGGAACGAGGTGTATAACAGCAAATTCTGCTGTGTTCAAAATCAGGTCCTGAAAATATCCCTGAAGTAATTATCACTGAGTGCTCCTGCCTCTCCAGCTGCCTCCCTCTGCCTGTGACAGTCCTTTGGTGACTTTAGTGAACCACAAACCTCCCATAGGCATTCCTGTGGGCCAACACAGTACTGGAGTACTCCTAGAGAGCACTCCTAGTCCCTCCTGGAGACCAGGAACTGTGGCTGGCTCAGCCTCCCAGGCACTGGGAGCACACAAGATCGTGCTGCAGGGGTCCTGTTAAACCCATGTGGCTTCACACCACCACAGCTGAGCTGGGTCCTGCCCAAGGCAAGGCTGAGCCAGGGTAAAGCACTGCCTCAGAGCACCTGGCTGGGGACATGGGAAGTCCCAGAGAAGGGACTGTGCAAATGTAAGCTGTGAAAACACAACCATCCCTCACTCCTGGAACATCCACAAAGCACAGCAGCCCTTGCGTGGGCTGCAGGAACCACAGCAGCCTTAGAAGTCACAGGTTTCCTGGCCCCTTAGAAGGAGCAGCCTGTCCAACCCCCCTCCCAGGCTCTGTGCAGCTCTGGTGGGCACTGCCTGGGTGCAGGGGGGCTGGCTGTGTGCTGCAGATACCAGGCTGGGTGGGGGGAAGCTGCCACTTCTCCTTTCACACACACCTGCTCCTGCACAGGTGGCAGGATGGGGATGGTGAGCAGGCAGCAGCTGCCCACAGGG